TCATCTTCTCTGGCTTTGCAGAAGTCTCCGTAAAGGATACAGCACCAACAAAGGTACAAAGTAGATCTACTCACAATAAGGAAAATACAGATGCCTTTTCTAAAAATCTGTTAAATTGGTCTTACATCAAAAAATGTCAATATGGTTGGCTGCTGGCTCTTTTATGTCCTGTTTAAATGTAAATATATATATGCGCATTTTTTATAAAAGGATCGCCGCCGTTTCATAAAGCTTTTTCGGCGTGAGAAGAATGTAAAAGTAGATAGAAGCCGTTTTTCGAGGTTTTTTCGGCAGAAGTAGAATTTAAAAAACGATTGTAGTATGCGCTGTTTTTTAGAGATTTTTTCAGCGTCAGAAGAAACAAAAAAACGTGTTAATTCAAAGAACTGGTTATTTTTGATAAATAGTCAAAGTAATTCGCGTAAGAAATTTAATAATTACATTTATATGTGTGTACATAAAAAGTGGTCAGAGTAGTAGGTTTAAGTGGTAAAATGTTTGTCCTTTGTATAATATTTGTAAATTTTTCAAGTTCAGAATCATGCAAGTCCAAGCGGTGGCTTCTGCCCTGTTTTCAGATAAAAAGCAGGCAGCGGCGATAAAGTTAACCATTAACCATTAACCAAATAAGTCCTGTGTGTTTATGTTATCTTTTTTTTCCTCGGCGTGAGAGACCGGCATGCTGTGTCTGGGAACAGGAGATTCCAGCAGGCTGGGAGAGCTGTTCCTGCATGCTTCTTGTCGCTCTGTCACTTTTGTTTTTTAAATTGAATATTCAGACGCGGAAAAGAGGTTGGCAGACCTCTCGGACAGTCCTTGGAACCAGTTTGACAAGAATAAGGTAAGCAGACACCTTTTTATAATGTAAAGTCTGTATAATTGGATATTAGCTAAATTTTGGTCTGTTTTTTGGGGTCTGTCAAAACTCTCTAAATTGTATTTGAAGAAGTCTCGAGGTTAGAATCCCTTTGAGAAGAAGATAAAGTATAGGATCCTTAGTGAAACCATGGTATAAAAGTAAAAGCAATTTAAAAAAGGGAAACGTGTTAAAGAGGCCTTTGTTACAAAAGCTTTGAAATTGACGAATTTCAGGCTGATAAATGACAAAAGTAAAGAAGCAACAATATTTTCGGTGATCACGGTTTAAATTACATACAGAAAAAGGGAGTTTTTTGTTTTTTAGTTTGTTTTTTTGGCGTGAACAGAGTAAATAGAAGCGTAAACGTTAAAGACAAGAGTGCCTTTTGTTACAAGTGTGAAAATTGGCCATTTCTAGACTTGAATGACAAAAGTATAAACTACAACATCAGTTATATTTGCTTAAAAGTAATCTTGAAAGTTATTCTGATAAGGAATTCTTACTGCTGTATGTCTGTGTGTGTGCGTCTCTCTCTCTCATGCTGCGTTGCCAGGGTAACCGCCCCCACCCTCGCGGCTCTGCTTTCTCTCTGCTCTTCTGCTCTGATTTAAAGGGGACCTACTGCTTTTAGGAGTTTGGCTTTTCATAGTTGTTTTTCCGTTAAATTTGCGAAATTTGCCATTTGAACATTGTGTTATGACACAGTTAAACGTTTTTAAACACCATTTAGTAAAAATAAGTTTTGAATTAGTATGTTTTTGAAACCCAAAAATTAGTGCTAAAGCTGTGCAATTTTTTTAGATCTAACATATTTCTAGATTCCATTCTTTTAAATCTGCTGCTTATTTCTTAACTGTTTGTGAGTTGTGTTTGTTTTTATGTTTTTATTTTTAGTTACAAAAGCCGTTTTTCAAACATTTAAATTGGAATCTGTGTTAAAAGTTATTATTGATTATAGACTTCGTCTAAAAAAGAAAGAGGGAATTAGTATTATTAAGTTAAACTTCACCCAATTCACATTCAAGTGGTGACTTTTGTTTTTGTTTTGACTACACGCCTGACCTTGTTGCTCCTCCTGCTGATGCACACAGCAGAGGAGACTGGCTCTAAAATGTGCTCCATTTCATATTGACTTCATTTGAAAAATGCTGCAATTATTTTAAATTAGTAGAATATATGCTGAGATAAATGTTCAAGATAATTAAAACACACAGTACAAAAGTACATATTACATATTTTAAAGTTTTTTGAGATTTGAGTCTTGTTTTTTATTAAGAGTTCCTGGTCTTAAAAATGTCATCAGTAGTAAGATAATAAGTAATCTATATTTACATAAGCTCTTGGAAACCCAGAGCGCTCCAAAATTGTTTAGACTTAGAGAGAAAAAACAGTCTCATTCACATACTGATACTGTTTTAATTTGACTATAAGGCTGTTTTCCAGAACCAAGGACACACACTGTACAGGGTCACTGGACTACTGGACTGGACACTGAGGGATCAGAACAGTGGAGCCCAGAGTAGACACCATCCAACCAGCCGCAGATCGTAAAGGCGACATAGCTACCTCCGTGTGCCCCTCCCCCACTACAGACCGATGGTCGTAGGTGGCAGTGAGACCGGGGCCACAAAGTGGGGTTTTCTGTAGGCAATGGTGGGTGAGTTGTTTTGCAATCTGGAAGTGTGTCCAGTTGGTTTACATCACCACAGTGTGACCTTTGAGACCTACGGGTGGTCCGAGGAGTCTGGAGACAAAATTCATACATACATACATCTACACACACACACACATTCACATTTACATATAGATACATGAAAAAGCAGAACATGAGAAAAAAAGCATTTTAAAAGTTTACTCCAATGTAAACACATATTTTTAATTGTCTATCACTTGAATCTTTAGTTGAATCAGTATTTTTTGAGACCAGAAATGTTCATTTGAATTCTATATTGTCATGGACTTAATTGACGTCTGTCCTGACACTTTTGATTTGTTGATTTTGTACTGTGTGAAGTAATTACATTGATTAGGATTAGATCTGGTAAAAACACAAATTAGAGAAGTAAACTGCGCTTGCTTTTGTCTAAGGGACATTAGCAACAGCATGAATAGAAATTGTGTTAAAGTAGAATCAAAGTGACTTAACCATAGAGAGTAACTATTGCATAACAAGCTGTGTACAGGAACTGTGACACTGCACCATTGACCAGAAGTGCATCGCAAATGACCTGATGTGCTTCGAGTGAAAAGACTGTATCTGGAGATCCTGATGTCCAACTGGAGAGACCCAGAACCATGGCTTGGACCCTACTGATGTCCAAGATGACATCTCTCGAAATATGAACCTGACGACGACTGAGACTCACCCTCAGGGGACCCTGAGGACCTGAGGACCTTGGAGAGAAAACTGGGGAGTGATGTTTATATTATTGAAATCATGCCATTGATGAGTGCTAAATGAGACAGATACTCATGATGCTTTCTTTTGTTTTTGTTTGTCCCTAGCTTCTGGACATCTGATGATCTATTGGACACAGCCATTTGCAGAACAAGAACCAGCCAATGAAAAACCATCTATTGCCGATGCTATTGCTACAACCAGAACCACAACTGTGACAAATGCAATGAATGTTAAGTATTCAGACATCAGACAGACAAAACTTTGACTTTTTAGTCTGGGAGACTGAGCAACAGTTAAAATGTTTTAAAATGATAAAGTATGAGTATTGTAGCGTTTTAATAGTAGTAAAAAAGTAGAATTGTCCTTCCTTTGTTGTTCATAAACACATTTCCACATAAGAGTTAAAATAGTACCATACAATGTTATCTCTGATAGAGCAGCTAGAATATTAGAATCAGAGTTATTTTAGAGATATTAGAAGTTACAAACTAGGAATATGCCTTGGCTCAAGCTACAGCCGAGCTTTAGAGTCACAATAGAGTAAAAATAGGAATAGATAAATGCATCAACCATAGATGCTTTCAAAAATAGAGAATATTTCTAGTCATTGGTAATATCAAATGGTAAAGGGACCATTCCACGAACCTTTGCTTCAAAAGTAGATAAAGTTACTTACAGTTTTAAGGAAAGTAAACCACAGAATAGAGAGATTTATTAGATTAAAATGTATGTTTGAGAATGTGGCTCAATGGAAGCAAATATGCAAACATATTTGTAGGTGGATTGGAATAGTTTTAAACTATAGTGAATAGTAAAAGTAAAGTACACAGTGTAAGATTGAATAGTGAAAATAATACAGTGAAATAAATGAAGTGTAAATAATTAGCATTAGAATAAAAGTATAGAGTAAGAAAAGCGAAATTAGCTTCAAATCTGAGACTCAGCTCGTTTTTGTCTGTGTTTTGACTGAATCTGCTGAGTTCTTGTGTGTCCAATAGAGTTTGTTTTTGTTTGTTTTTATTTTTGATTTAAATATTGATTTGTGATCACATGTGTATGTGATCAAGAGAGGGACTGTGAATATTTAATTATTTTCTGCCTGCTAAAATGTCATGTTAAACAGAGTTCACTTGTACTTTGAACTGCTTACAGAAGCATGGAAACAGATAAGACAGAACAAACAGTAAACATGTGCAGTATGGATGGTGTACGTTGGAGTTTGCTCCATTACAAAACAGTTATATCACAGTTGTACGTTGAAACCATACGCTTTCTTCTGCATAGTCATCTACCAAAGTCTATATGCTTACATAATCATTTAAATGTATATAAGGAGTTAGCCTTTGCCTGTACTAGTAGACTTCTGAGGCCAGACAGGATGGGAGGCTGCGTTATGCTTGATCAGAATATGCTCAAACCTTCTGACAATAAAACTATTGAACTACGCAGTCGAAGTCTCGTTTTGTCTTACGTCTGGGTATATTCACACGCTTTATCCACATCCCACCCAGATCAGCGCTATATCTCCTTGTTCAGTTTGTGATTCCTTGTTTGCTCTTCTTTGTTTCACATGTTGTGTTTTTAGGAACATACCACTGATGTTGCAGACAAGTTCAATATTTAACTCCAAGGGTGATAAAAAATTTGGTAACTGATATCCACACATTTCTGTTTTCCAGTAAGACATTTTACATGGTGCATGTAGTGTGTTAAATGGATTATATTTTTTGTGATTTAAAGTGGACCCATACACGTGTCTGGCCTGTGAGGAGACTGAGTGGTCGCCTGAAGCCAGCACCTCATGTAACCAGCGCTCAGTGGAGTTTGTCCCATTTGAGGATGTCTTTGCCATAGTGATCATGGTTGGGACTGGGTTTTTGCTGGTCGTCTCTCTCCTCACTGCTCTGCTCTTTGGTCTGAACTACAACACTCCTGTGGTGAGATCTGCAGGTGGACCCATGTGCTTCCTGATTCTGGGCTGCCTCAGTCTCTGCAGCATCAGTGTGTTTTTCTACTTTGGTAAACCTACTACAGTCTCTTGTATATTCAGATATTTACCATTTGTGCTGTGTTTCACAGTTTGCTTGGCCTGTTTTGTGGTGCGCTCCTTTCAAATTGTCCTTATCTTTAAAATATCTGCTCACTATCCCTCACTGCACAGGATGTGGACTAGATATCACGGACAATGGCTGGTAGTTTTGACTGCGTTTGTCCCGCAAGGAACTTTCCTCAGCCTAGCAGAGACATGGATTATTTCAATGACAAAATTATTCTTATTTGTTACATTCATGTAAAAGTATACAGCACCTCCTTTACATTGTTGTTGATACTATGTTTGCTTTGTTTTTTTGAAAGTCTAACAACAGTGGACATTTTTCCGATATCAGTTATGTGTGATATCGACTTCAATGACCCTACAGTACAGATGAAGAAATTATGCTGCTCAACAATTTATCAATTGTCCAATTGTATTCTCCAAATTATTGCATTAAATATTTCTATTTTTGCTCAGAAATACTTCATTGCAGTATTTCTGCAAGCATTCTTCCTGTGAGCATGTAAACTTCTCATTTCAAGCGACCCACAGGCAAATCAATGGACCTAGAATCAATGGTATAATCTTAACCTAAATTGCTACCTTGTCCATTCCATTAAATGTTTTTTTTTTTTTTTTAAACGTTAAAGGCAAAGAACATTAGGGGTATAGTCTACTAAGAGTACAAATGTTACTCATTGCTTATTCAATGCTTTGTTCAATGCCAAGTTTTAACTTAAAAAAGAATATCTGAAGGATTATTTCATATGAATGTATTGCTATAGATTGCATTTGATTTTGTTATAGTTTACTGTTGAGTCAAAAAACAAAATTAGGAATAACAATGTATTTTGTTCCAATAAACACTCTGCTTACACATTGATGATAAAGTTAAGTGTTTGATTCACAAATATAATTGAATTTTTGACAGAGATAAGTGTACTCTATAAGCCTTTAGTAAAACCTTGTGCAAAGCTATGTCCTCAACTACAACACTATCTGTTTCTTTTAGCTATGTTTCAAACACTCTCCACCGTCTACTGAGGTATAAAAGGTGCGTGTGCATGTTGTTTACGCTGGTTTTGTTGCAGGTCGTGCAGAACTTATTTGAAACAGGAAGCTCTCTGTTTTACATAATACAGTTGAATTAGTTCATCTGTGTGCATTTGCATTGAACTTACATAGAAGAGACTTGTTTACATAAAGGTGGTGTGTCCAGTGTCTGTGTCTTCCTCTCACACAATGGAGCAAACTTTACTTCTACCAGCTATAAAATATCATCATAATTAGACTGAAAAATGCATATAGATCTAGTGACTAGCATAAAACTATAAATGCAGAACCGCAATTTAAATACTTGTCCATAAAAGTTAAAAAGCGAGGAGACTCCAAGGGGCAGGTGCACGCTCTGTCAGTCCAACTCTGATCCCAACTCAGCCTCACACAGTCTCTGTTTGCCAGTGTAACCCGCTGTGAGACACAGAGACCGCTCCTGTTAAAGTAATGATATATAATGTTTATTTATATAGCGCATTTTACAGAACAAGGTCTCCAAAAGCACTTTACAATGTTCAGAGTTCAGATATTGTTTCAATCATTCCACATATGGTGATGACGGAAGCAAGACGCCAAACACACCAGAGCTTCAAGGCCTCCACAATCCATTCTCTCTCATTTACATTCATACCTGTGCATGAACATACAAACTCCACTCAGAAAGGCCCTGTTCCAGCCAGGATTTGCACCCAGGACCTTCTTGCTGAGAAGAAGAGTGCTATCCGTGCTCAAATGCCATGGTCCCAAGAAACAGAAAAGAAAAGAGAGTGTCCTCTGTCACCTCCAGTCTGTCTCTCTAAAACTTTCAAATCAGGTCAGAAATCTAGGATAATACTGTCCTCACTCACACAGCAAAACATTAACATCAGGAGCTTTTGAGTCGGGCTGAGCAGGGCAGTCTGCAGGACCAGATGGAGGAGGCCAGGTGCAGGGATCCCATCATCACGCCATGAAACAGACAACAGGACAGCGGGTGAATAGCAATGAAGAGACCACAGTCACATTGATGACAGATGTACATAATGTGGCAAGTCGAGACGGCCACGCGCTCCTAAAATAATATAAGAAAGAAATAAGAGAAAGACAAAAAACAACAACGCCAGGGCAAGGGTGCCCAAAATTAATAAAAAGCGCACTAAGGCGCACAGGTTCGTTAACCATAATTAAAGGCACAAGCAGAAATTAAGTTACTTTGATTAATGACGTTACGATGTTTAGTTTTGTTACATTTCATATCTATATTCACAAGTACACAACTTCCTGTCACAAAGGACTCAGGAGCACAGGTGAACACACACACAGAAAAATGGGAGAACACGGAGAGAAACAGCGGTGGGCCGCGATGTGAGCGCGCACCCTTGAAGGGTGACGGTCCGACCTAGACCCACAGCCGGCTATGACACGCTTGGACCCCAGCCACGAGGGCGGCCAGACGCCAGAGTGACAGGACAGCGTGGCTATATAAGCAGGAGTCGCGGGGCAACAGGGCCTCACCGCGGCACTGAAGCAGGAGGAGGCTGGCACGACGCAACACCGGGGACGATAGGGCAGACGTAAACAAAGACGCTGACTAGAGGCTATTTATATTGTCAATATGCGACCTCTACTGGGCAGAATTATCATGGCCAAGTCCAGCTTGCCTGAATAAGATGAACTAAGGCTACATAAAGAAGAATTAAGGCTACATTTGATGTATTTCTTTCTAGCTAACTCAAAGTGTTGCATACTGACATTCATGCTTCACTGCAAGGTCATGGGTATGATCACAGGGCTTTTCACAATCCTCTTGTTGCCTATGTGCGTGTCAAAGAGTTTTACATATTTGAGTATTGGCACATTGCCAATTATACAACAAAGGCTGTTTGAAACTCATGAAAATGATGTTGGCAAAAGTATTGGAACATTTGCTCTCCACACACGCAACTAAAGAGTCTACAATGGAGCGATATGCCCTGCTCTTGTTTCTTGAGTGCATTTTCTTCGGAGGTGGTTGTGTTGGGGCATCTGAATACAGTCAAGATGGAGACTATATAATTGGGGGTCTTTTTAATATCCACTGGGAAACTCACCCCCAACAATATTACACACCAGAAGTCCTACAGTGCTCTAGGTGAGTGAAAATACATAGCTTTTTATGTACATTATTATCATAAAATTGTCAACTCAACTATATGGATTTTTACTGTTAGCGTGCTTGCGGTGTTAAATAATGAACAGAATACCCTAGTCCAAACAATAGAGTGGAACCTACTTGTCTATGAAATGTTAGTCAAATACATCAACTCAACAATTAAAAAATCTATTTAATGTTCATAATTTGTGTTTTGTCTTTTCATCCAGTTCATCTTTTTACGTGTCCAGTTATCGCCGGTTCCAGTTGATGAAATTTGCCATTGAAGAGATCAACAACTCCAGCGGCCTCCTGCCCGGTGTCACTTTGGGCTATAATATCTTTGACCACTGCTCAGACATCCAGAACTTTCCAGACATTTTCAACCTTCTCTGGGGGAAAACCCCTTTCAACCCCTGGGACATAACCCGCCTCAACTTCTCCGAAATTATTGCAGTGGTCGGCTCCTCTACAAGCCATTTGACTAGAGCTGTGGCTCCAATGTTCATGAATAATCTAATCCCTATGGTAAATTGTGCACAAATTTAATGAATAATGAATACAGGAGACTATGAATGAAAACTTGACTTTTTTCATCTTTTGACCTTGTTCCAACATTGTCATCAAAAACAGACCTGCAGTTGTTTTTTAGATCTAACTACGCTAACATTGGGAACCATTTTACTTTATCAACAAAGCATTCTATACACAAACAACTGATTTTTGAAAAATGTAGTGCCCATAAATTAGTTTTGGACATGGTGAAAGGTCCTGGCTTGAAATGCAGCGTACTGTAAGACTCAAACTTTGATACAATTCGCTAACAAATACACGTCCTCTCTTTTACAGATCAGTTATGCGGCGTCCATTTCAATATTTTCTCTAAAACACTTATTCCCCTCATTCTTCCGTACTGTCCATACCAACAAGGATGTGGTTGATGTTTTTTTGCAGTACTTCAAATGGCATTGGGTGGCCTTCCTCAACATTGACAATGATTATGGGAATGACGGTCTCACTGTGTTCATCAACATGATTCAAGACACAGACATCTGCCTGGCCTACAGCAAAAAACTGGATAAAAACACAAATTACACAGACATTTTTAAGCATATAGATCAGGGGTGCTCACACTTTTTCAGCATGCGAGCTACTTATAAAAGGATCAAGTCAAAATGATCTACCTACTACAAAAATGCAAATCATATATTTCAAAAAATATTCTTTATATCTACAATGTATGTTTATGTACATGCAAAACAGCATGAGCCAATATAGCACAACACAACACAATTACCTATGTAAATTTTTTGTCATTACCCGAGTTTACTCTTATGACTTGCACTGAATTGAATCGGCCAGGGATGCATAGTCCGGAAAATTGGTGGTAACTTGCTGACAAGTTTGTCGTGGTTTAGCTTTCCTGCACTGAGCGCGGTTGTTTGCGCATGTGCAGTGAAGTCACCTAAGTGTCAGTAAAACATTACTGAGTAAATCACAGATGTCATTTGACTGTGGTGCCATGTCCATGTGCCATGCCTGTTTTTTTTTAATCCAAATATTTCCCCTCCTCCTTTTATAATATAATTTGCATCCACACATCTGCGTTATCAATCACATTCGTAACATTCCAAACATGTGCGTGTCTTACGTCCTGTCCTGCGTTGGGGAAAAACACAGAAGTGGGCGGAGCTTTGATGCAGACGCCGGTAACGGCACTTTTACAGTCATAGAAGACACTCAGAGTAAAGAGTAAGACGTATGTTTACAAGCACTGACCCCGTCCTCAGCCCTGGTTTAGTCCTGGTTTAGTCCCGTTTTAGTCCTGGTTTAGTCTGGTTTGGTTGTTTTCGAGCGTGAATCCCCGCGATCACTTTGCTGCTCTCTGATGTGGAGGATGTTTGCTGCTGCGAGCATCTCACAGTGAACAGTTTTTAAGGTAGTATGATCCATGCTTCAGTGATCAGAGGAATTTAGGGGGTACTGTGGCGTGCGAGAACGCAAAACTCTGGTTATCTCTGTCTACACACAAATGCATTAACGGAGTTTTCAAAAATCTCCACTTTGCCCGGAGTTTTTTGTATATATTCGTTTAGAATGTGTAATTTTTTATTTATTTAATGCGATCTACCAATACTACCTTTGCGATCGACTGGTAGATCGCGATCGACGTATTGAGCACCCCTGATATAGATAATCTAAATGTACAAGTGATTATAGTGTTTGCTACTGCATGGACAGTAGAAAAACTCATTCCATCCGCTATAGAAAATAATTTCTCCAACAAGACATGGATAGCTGTGGATTCTTGGTCACTAAATAAAGACCTTCCCAAAATGCCGGGTATCAAAAGTATCGGAACAGTGCTGGGGATTGCAGAGCCAGAGATTACCATACCTGGTTTTGATGACTTCATCAGCAAATTACAAATTGACAGTCAACCTGGAGAGTTTTGTAACCAGTTTTGCAACTGTAGTGAGCTGCATCCAGAGGATATTTTGAAGGCCGAGAACTCTTTCAACTTCCCTGTGTACGCAGCAGTGTATGCCATCGCTCACGCCCTACACAACACACTGCAATGTGGAGACGACAAGTGCAGCAAGAGCATCACTGCATATCCACATATGGTGAGAGGGATTTTGCGTGGCATTTGTGTTTTACAGATTATTTCTATCATTTGATTTGATTTTGACTGATTTAGGGAAAGTACCTTGAGCTGCAGAATCTCATTGTCAAGAGGGTCCCAGAAGATGATGGTGCATACCAAATTGTAATCATATTAAGGACATTAGCCGCCATTGAAGGCTATGGAGCATAGACATAGAATTAGTCATTACTAAGGATGTCATAACTGTTCATATTTTGAACATTTTACATAACTATGTATTGCATGTAAATAATTTCCAATCCCAGATGATGAGTCTGGCAAATGAAAAATTCAGAAGTACAAATGACAAACTGTCCTCCATAGTCTTTGCCGAGGATCTGCCCTGAATAAAGGCAATATTAAGTTTGACCTGTTAATTTAACGTCTAATCATTGACCACTCTATATTATTTTATTAAAGTGTGTGTTTGATCATGATGATTGTTGGTTCACTCTGGTTCTGATGCTTATTGGGAAGGGATTCTCACTGCTATGTTAACAAATTCCCAATAATGTGAAATGTGTTTAAGGTTAACATGTTTTTTCTCTAGGTCCTTTCTGAGCTGAAAAGATTAACGTTCATGATTCTGAACCGCACCATTCAATTTGATCAAAATGGAGACCTGAGGTTTGGACATTATGATATCATCACATGGAACAGCAGTGGAGAGGCAGAGATCATCGGAGTCCACACATTTCAGTCGCCACCCGTTTTTTTCATCGATGAATTCAAAGTCCACTGGCACAACAATGGTCAAGTATGTTTTTTCCCTCTATATCCATTTATTTTTTATTGGAAGACCACAGGCCAAATGTGTTTGAAAGTTAGATGTGCAAATCTGGCATAGTGTTATTTACTTTGTGTGTTAATTAACACTAGAAGTCCCGTGGAGGTGCCATTTGACACATCTACCTAAAGAACCCACCACGGTGACTCCAAGGATTTTAGCTAACAAACTAAATCACCTGTGAACGGCAAACTTTGTTATGCAAATAAGGCAATTATCACAGGCTTAGCTGAAGTTGCTAACCACTTCACTTTGCCATCTTCGGGAGAGGGGGAGGATCTGGTAGTAGTTGAAATGAGTTAAAACTTATGTCATGCTGACTGTAGTTAAAATATAATAATGATAATAATTAGGGGTGCAACGGTTTGAAAAAATCACGGTTCGGTTCGTACCTCGGTTCAGAGGCCACGGTTCGGTTCATTTTTCGGTTCATTTTTCAAAAAAAAAGTGTTGTCTTTTTAATAAACACAGCTCATGTGGACTCGGCACCTGCTCTGACTGCCCCCCCTGACCTAGAAATGAATTAAGGGGAAGGAAATGGATGGATGGATGGAAGGAATATTCCATCCATCCAATTATGTCTATTTAACATAATTAATGAAAAACAACACAAAGTGCAACATAAGAAGGCACTTTATGAGGATATTTACTCTCATATATTACACCACCTTCCTGATTCGAGGAGGCGCTCCATTCTGGGCCCAGCCTCATTCACTGCATTTATTTAATTTTTGGCATTATCAGTTGTGACTGGGATATTAGTACTGGGCGTTTGTCTTCCATTCCTCCGCTGCTTGTGTCAGTACCTGCGCTGGGTGACTGTGTGACAGTGTGACTGTCGTAGAGGGGGCGTGTCTGCAGCGCCAGACTTTTCATCTCCCAGTCTGCGGTGATGAAGTGAGCGGTTCCGCTCATGGATCTATTATAGGTTCCGCGGGACGTCCAAGCGTCAGTCGTGAGCTGAGCTGAGGATGCGCGGGAGAGTTGACTCTAGCCCGGTCTGACTGTGCGTAAAGGAGCTGCTTAAATGCCGCGACAATAAGCGGTCGTTGAGACGCTTTTTTCACTCATGTCTTTCTTGTGCCACAGTGCTTACACATCGTGACAGTTTTGTCGAATATTAATTATCAGTGTAGTTACAGTGAAGCCAAAATGCTCTCATACTGGGGATTTAAATGACGCGGGGCTTTCAAGCATCTCCGTTCCTCCGCTCGCAATGACCGCGCTGTGTGTGGACTGAACAACGTGCGCACAACTTTTTTTTCATAAATCAAACCGCGGATAACGTCTGTACCGAACCGAAGACGTTGAACCGAACGGATCACGGATCAGTGATGAACCGTTGCACCTCTAATAATAATAAAGTTAATCAAAAGAAAAAAAACGTGCAACGTAATTTAATGTTTAAATTGACATGAAATTAAAATAAATATGCTACTTAATAAAATCTTGACATTTTCTACTGCATGTAATTATTACCAGCATCTTAAATCTAACTGTCCCACCAGTGAAGTCGCTCAACCACATTATCACCACTTCACCCTCTTGGGGAAAGATCAACACAGATTTTTCATTTGTTGGTGAGATTTATTTATTCTAAATGCTACAAAATAAGAAAAATGCTAATACAGTTTTTCTTAGTCGCTTTGGTGCATTTCTCAGACTTAAAGTTCTCAAAACTATTACTTCAACCTCCACAACATTGAGTAATTTGTGCACATCATCGTACAAAATTCTCATTCCTATGAACAAATTACAAATGCTTTTGGACATGTATCAGTTACTTTCCTACAATTCTCTGCTGTTTTAAAACATTATCATTTGCTTCTGTCTTGTCAGTCAAAATACTTGCACTGAAACATACTTATCACTGCTGAATAGTCATTCCCTATAAAACTAATAGTCCTCAATTCATTGTTTTAGTCATAACAAAAATAAATTGTTGAACTAGTTCACATTCCTACATTCCTTTATTTATCTTTTCCTTATCAGACTCTTATATGTGGGTTTTAAGAATGAAAGTTTTGTGTAAAGTTTGGTTTAGGTCGGGTTATGGACTGGGCTGTTAGCTGTCGAGTTAGCCACATTAGCAGCTCAACTTGACAGGAAAGGTACTGCTATCACACAGTAGCAGTGCGGTGTCACAGGAGCAGTTATACTTAAACCAAACTTTACACAAAACTTAGATTTTTAAAACCCACATATAACAACTTGGAACCATCAACATCTCACCTCAAACTGCATTAAAGTGACATTCATGTCTTTATTCGTTCAAATTTAAACTTTTTACACAACTCACAGACTTTACTGTATGTCCACCATCTTGGATTGCTTCGGCTGCCCTGAGAAGCGCATGCGCAGGTTTGCATTACATCATAAACAGCTGAGGGAGGTCATCTCGACGGACAGACCAACGAGTGGGGTCGGGTCAAGGCTCAAAAGTGGCCAAAAGGACGTGCGCTGACATGCTTGCAAAACCACCCCGGGCCAATGGGGGTGGACCCGGAATAAGAATTGGCCAATGCTAACATATAGCATTGGCAGACCTCTCAAAAAAACTTTACAGGATGGTCCAAAAGTTGGCTCTTGGCTCAAAGCTCCGTTCCACATGTGTGTCAATGCTGAGGGGAGTGAATTTTTTTGGACCACTCTAGTTTACTTGCTGTGAATTTTTAAAGTCACTCGGTCAAATGATTGGAGCTTTTTTCACAATGTGGGCGAGACCACTCGCAGCCATTTTGGATAGCTCCAGTAGAGCACATTTTTTGGCCCATTTGTTTGAACGGCGGAGATCGGCGTGACTGTCTGTTAATATATACAGTCTATGAGACCAACCTTGACAGAACACTCCATGAGCATGTGCGCTGATATACTTGCAATACCACCCCTGGCCTGTGGGGGTAGACCCAGAAAAGGAATAATCCAATGCTTTTGTATGGGGTCTTCTTACCGCTCAAAAACGTCTTTGCAGGATGGTCCAAAAGTCGCTCTTGGCTCCTAGCTACGTTCCAGATGCTGTCAATGCTGAGGAGAGAATATTTTTCGGACCACTTTAGTTTATCCGCTGTGGACTTCAGAAGGCACTCGTTGAATGAATGGGGCAGGTGCCGTCTAACAAATGCACAAATGCATTTTTTTCACATTTTCCTGCGGGAGGGGCTCCACATGGCCATTTTGAATAACCCGATAGAAGGCAAAAGTGATATCACATGAGATAGGCATTATTACGTCCCCTAATCTTTACAGTCTATGGTTTCCCATAGAGGTGTGCGGTGATTTGTTTTGATCATCTGCAGGTTCCCTCAGCATTGTGCATGCCCGAGTGCCCGAAAGGATATCGGAGAAGTGTGGAGGGAATTCACAAATGCTGTTATACATGTATCAAATGTCAAAAGGATGAATACATTAACAATTCAGGTACATTATGAGTTTTTTATATTTCATTTTCATTTTATTTTTTGACCATAATCTGTGGGGTGGAAGCCTACATTGCATAGTGCACTATTTCATATTCACTAAATGTTGTGATTTACAGTGGACCCATACACGTGTCTGGCCTGTGGGGAGACTGAGTGGTCGCCTGAAGCCAGCACCTCATGTAACCAGCGCTCAGTGGAGTTTGTCCCATTTGAGGATGTCTTTGCCATAGTGATCATGGTTGGGACTGGGGTTTTGCTGGTCGTCTCTCTCCTCACTGCTCTGCTCTTTGGTCTGAACTACAACACTCCTGTGGTGAGATCTGCAGGTGGACCCATGTGCTTCCTGATTCTGGGCTGCCTCAGTCTTTGCAGCATCAGTGTATTCTTCTGTTTTGGTAAACCTACAACAGCCTCTTGTATACTCGGTTATTTTCCATTTGTGTTGTGGCTCACAGTTTGCTTGGCCTGTTTTGTGGTGCGCTCCTTTCAAATTGTTCTCAGCTACCCCTCACTGCACAGGATGTGGACTAGATATCACGGACAATGGCTGGTAGTTTTGACTGCATTTGTCCTGCAAGGAATGTTATTACTTATTACATACATATATGCACCTCCTCAGCCTGGTGGAGACATAGATTATTTCAAAGACAAAATTATTCTCATTTGTGAAAATGATTTTTTAATATTCATCGTTTCTGGGTCATTGTTGTTGCTATTTTGCATACTTTGCTTTGTCTTCTCATACATGGGCAAAGAACTCCCAAAGAATTACAATGAAGCCAAAGCCATCACTTTTTGCCTTTGTCTGCTGGTTCTCACATGGATATGCTTCGCCACCATCGTCATCCTTTACCGTGGGAAGCACATCCAGATAATATATGCACTCGCAATGCTCTGTACTCTTGTTGTGTTAAATATAGGCTAAAAGGCGATGTGAATTAGATTGACCTGAAATTGAACTCTGTCTGTCTCCAAGCAAAAAGAAAGACCTTGTATTGCCCTACTCCCCTTGTCCCATTTTGTCCAAAGTGCATGGGTGAGTTAATGATAGTTAATCTGGGGGGATTCTGCTAATCCTTTCAAGTTGTGAAAGAAGGAGATGGAGTCCAGAATCTGGAGGAGAAGCCTTGAGATCCCTCTGCCTTATCTCAAAGGAACTAATAAATCTATAGAATTAGGGAGGGGTAGTGCGTGAATGATTTCTGTTTAGGTCTGGCGAGACGGAGAAGACCTGATGGAGGCCGGACCCTGGACCAAGAGCTGACTGATACGACACGCCCCTTCTTCCCCTTGCACATTTACTTAATGAATAGCTTGAATGTGTGTGTTAGTTTTTCAGTCCGGATCAGGGTTTAGCTGTGTGACTTGGTGGAGCGCCCAACCAATGTTACACCTTATATAGAGGATAGGGATTAGATACTTTTTGGTCCGGACAGCTGTTTTAGATTCTTTTTGTATTAGGGAAATAAACCTTTTTGAATTTAACTTTCTGAATCATGGTCATCTTTATAAGGGATTTTGAACACGTCATTTTTTTAATATAATAATTGGTGACCCCGACGTGATCCCTTTGATGACTTTCAACCTCTCCCTTGGACTCTGCATCTCTCCTCAAAGCGGCCGCTGATTTGAAGGTAAGCAGATACCTTTTGACTAATTAAAAATCTGCATATTGGACTACACAAATTAAGGGGAGAGAAGTTTTGTCCACGGAGGAGCTAATTCAAAAAGTAAAAATAGTAAAAGCCTAAAAAGTAGTGAGAGCCTTGCGAAAATACGTTAAAATTAAATAAAATAGGAGTCTAAGTAGCTAGAACCCTGCGAGAATATATTAAAAGTAAAGATTTTTTGAGAAGCCTTGCCAGAAACAGAAAAGCCCGCTGTGACTAGCGTGGTTGACGGACGCGTCAACACACAAGTTAGGTTTTCACCATTGGAACCTGGGGGAATTTTGGGCCCCCCCGAAAAATGGAGACAGGCATTCAAATCGAGCAGCTATATAGAGAAATAGAGGCTCAGATTCTGAGTGGTCTGGATAAAAAATATAGGAACAAGGCAAAACGAAAGGCTGTGAAAGCATGGGAAAAAATACAGAACAAAAGGGTCATACCTGAGTATATGACAGCGTCCGCATTGGCTAAGATATTGCGGGAAGAGGAAAATAATTTAAAACAGCATAAACTAGAGCTTGAGGGAAAGCAGGGAAAGAGTTGGAATGAGTGTAGGAAAATTAAGAAGGAACTAAAAAAGGCTGAGAAACTGAGGACCAAGGTACATAATTTTGCTTTGGCTGCCACGGCGTTGGCAAAATTACCGATGGTAAGTAAAGACAAGGAAACAGAAAACGGAGCAATGCCGGTGAGTAATACATACCCATCCCTACCCACGGCTCCACCAAAGTACTCTCTAGGTTTAGAACCAGGTAAGCCAAATCTAATATTGCCACAATATACATTTTCAGGAGAAGTGGCGGTAGGAAAGAGAGGGGACAATGACTTTGTAGACAGTGAATTTGACGAAGGGACAGAACAGGAGTCTGTGGGGGACAATAGAGATCCGAGTCAAAATCCAGCTGTCAGCCTCCCGCCACAGCTCCCACACACCCCTCACCAACCCCCATCTATTCAAGAGGAGCTCCTGCACTCTCTCAGAAATATTAGAGCTAGGAAACCGACCTCTGAATGCACCACAGACAGAGTTGAGGGAGAAGAAACCCCAAGTAGGACCCATGATTACAAGACCGCTAGACAGGAGAATGCAAAATTAATTAATAAAGCCGCACGCAGAGCCATGACTAGGACGGACAGTGAAAATGAAAAGGGAGACGGTGCCATGGCCCAGCCAATACTTAAAGCTAAACAGGCTAAAAAAGGAGCTAAATTCTCTTCTGACAGTAGTGATGACGGAGACCAGGAGCCTGGAGAAACTAGACCGGTGGCAAGCAGAACCAGGTCTCAGACAAAATCCATGTTCCCTCTGAGACCAGGACGAGGCGCAGCTGGGGAGTACCATCCTTTTTCTGTAAGTGACATGCAGACTATAAAAGACAAAATGCCTCCATTGTGTCAGGGAGCTGGAAACTGGATTTCCAGTCTGAACACATGGTTTACAGGTCATGATGTCGCGATGGGTGACGTCCGGGCAGTGATGGCAGCATGCAGTAAACCATGGGAGAGAGATGCTATTGAAAGACAAGCTGGTACTGATGATGTTTGTGATTCTTCCAGATTTGGCCAGTATGCAAATGCCTGGTATGAAGCACTGAGGGAAAACTTTCCAACTCCGCTGTCTTCTGCCCCTCGTGAGTTAACTTGGCTGGAGTCTGAGGACCCAATTGTTTTTATGACAGGAGTGTGACCAAGTGGATGGACACAGTAGGAAGACACCCTCACAAGGTCAGTGAAGTCATGCCTTTTAGAGCAGCTATTTTTTGAATGGTTTACCAGAAACAATACGCTCAAAGATTGAAGACAACCCAGATAATATTAACCCGGATTCAGCACAGTGGAAAACAAATTTAATCTTTCACATTAAGCGATATGTTGAAAATAAAACTAAAGAAAGAAAGAGTGTTGAAGATATGACTTGTCAACTTTTGAAGTTACAGCTTAGTGAAGCGAGAAATAAAGCCACACAAAATAAAAAAGGAACCAGTAATCAGATGACTAATATGCCTGCTGGACTTCCCACTCCACCACGACAGGACTGGACAAGGGGAGGGGCCAGAGGTGGTGGGCGTGGGGGCCGGGGAGGAAGAAGGGGTGGAAGCTGGAAAGGGGGCAGGGATGTGTGTCACCTCTGTTACAGGCACGGTCACTGGGCGAGGGACTGCCCCTTTGAAGGAGAGGCCTCCTACTACCATGGAGCGCCTGAGATGGTGCGTGGGAGGGGCCCCCAGAGAGGCATGGGACCCAGACCAGAGCGCGCAGGCCCTCCCTCCCCATGGACGGCTCCGAATGACAACCTGGCCCCGAGAGATGGACAATATTTCCAGCATGGGAACTACTGGGGCGAGTATGAACATGAACAATCTTACTAGGGCTGCCTAGGAAATCCAGGGGACAAGGTACCAGCAGAGCCTATGCTCCCCATAAGGGTGGAGGACGACAACCTGATGGCCCTGGTGGACACTGGCGCCACCTACTCTACCATCAATACAAAGATACGCCCTGTCCTGCTCTCTGAGGAGCACATCACCCTGGTTGGATTTTCTGGGACACCTGAGGTACTGCCACTCACTAAACGTTTAAAGACACAAATTGGAACACAGACACTGTGGCATTCTTTTGTAAATGCTCCTAAAACACCTGTCAACCTGCTGGGAAGAGACTTATTGACTAAAACCAATGCGTCAATTCTATGTGGACCGGATGGTCTACAAGTGACTTTTCCAGGGGGACAAATTTACAGATGTGTGACCGGTGTATCGATGGACTCCTGCTGGCTTCTGAGAGAAGAGATGCCAGACCAGTATGCAGACATATACTGGGTGAGACTGGACCCAGAAAACAAGTCCACGGACAATAATGGTGTGCATTCCGTCTTCTTCAAGTGGAAACCCTGGATAAATTCTTTGGCCTCCTACCACCTCCCACTGGACCCTGCCCACTTGACATTATTCTATGACAGAGACCAAGACTTAATGTACAGAGAACAATTCAAACAAATTGAAAGTGATAGGTGGACATTAGAATCAGATTACATTTATATTGGGCCTGAGGGTGTGGCGGCCCATACACGGCTGCTTCCTGAACAGTGTGAGTGGTATTACATGTCTTCCTCTGCTGTCCCACACATCACCTTGGCTGTACACCCTGGTCACGAGGCTAGAGCTTTAGGTCCAATGGTAAAGAGACTGGTAAAAGCTGACGATTGGTCTGACACCCAACTCCCTCATGTAGAGTACAGCATTGAAAATAAGTCATACAGGATAAAAGCAAATATGATAGACACAGGGGAAGTGGAGCACGAAACATTGACCAGACATCATGGTAGACACATGACAGATCATGATGATACTCATGAAATATTGAAACAGGTGCCTGCAGAAGTTTGGTCCCAAGGTCCCACGGACGTGGGGTTGTGCACCTCTTTCCCTCCTGTGTCTTTACAGATGAAGCCAGGAGGCCCGATTCGCATAAAGCAGAATGCCGCCAAACCAGACGCTGTCGAGGGTATCTCACAGGTGATAGAGGGACTTACGAAAGTGGGAGTCCTCGAGCCATCAAAATCAGAGTGGAACACGCCCACTCTAGCTGTGCCAAAAACAGGTCAGAATAAATATAGAATGGTCCATGATTTGAGAAAAATAAATGATTTAACATTAACTCAGTGTCTCCCGGTCCCAAACCCTTATACAATGCTGTCATCACTGTCACCAGACCTCCAGTATTTTACTGTTATGGATTTGGCTAATGCATTTTTCTGTATTCCCCTGGCAGAGGAAAGCAGAGATTTCTTCTCATTTACTCACAGGGGCCAAAAACTGCGTTACACCCGTCTTCCCCAGGGACATAAATGCTCCCCGGGCATTTTTAATCAGACTTTGAACGCTCTGCTGAGAGAGTTGGTGCTTCCGGAGGGCGTGGTACTCCTACAGTATGTGGACGATCTCCTCCTCGCCTCGAGAACGGAGCAGGCCTGTCTACAAGCCACTAGGGACACTATAGTCTTCTTACATTCAAAAGGATTTAAGGTCAGTAAGGAAAAGCTACAATGTTGCAGGCCTGCGGTGACCTTCCTGGGACGTAGTGTGTCTGGAGGATCCACAAATATGTCTCCAGAGCATAGAGATGCTATTTTGTCATATCCCAGACCCACCATGGTGGGGGACATGTTGTCCTTCCTGGGTCTGATAGGCTATAGCAGACACTATGTGGCAGATTTTGCAGACAAAACTAAACCTTTAAGAGCTTTAGTTAATGAACATGGCATGAGAAACACAAGGGCTAAACTGAATTGGGACAGAGATAGTGAGGCACAGTTTATCTCACTCAAACAGGACCTATCCTCTGCGGCTCATTTGGCTTCACCAGATTATGCTCTCCCGTTTTATTTAGATGCCACAGTGCAGTCTCAGGTAGCTAACGGGGTGTTATATCAAAAGTGCAGAGGCCAGAGAAAAATCTTACAGTATATTAGCGTTCCATTGGATTCAATCGAGGCTAGACAGGTTGACTGTTCTAGGTATGCTGCAGGAGTGGGACATTTGATTAAGAAAACAGCACATTTAGTCATGGGGCATGCTTTAGAAATATTGACTGATCATGGCGTTTGTGCATATGTGTCCTCAGCTGCATTCACTATGTCACCTTTGAGACAGTCACGGCTCTTACAGGTGCTCACTCAGCCCCACATAACTTTTACACCTCTTGGCATTAACATGGCTGACCACATGCCAAGACAGGGTGAGCCGCATGACTGCAGTGTAAGGGTAATAGACAGTCTGAAAGTGCGACCTGACCTCCAGACTGACCCACTTCAGGACCCCGACTTACAGCTTTTCACAGATGGGTGTTGCTGGAGAGAGAGGAATGGCAGCCTGAGAGCGGCATATGCAGTTGTCAGTGTTAACGGTGAAAATGTTGTTACAGTAAACAGCGGTGTTTTAACTGACAAACCATCAGCGCAGGCGGCAGAACTAGAGGCTCTCTGCGCCGCCTTGGAGTTTGCTAAAGGTAAATCTGTAAATATTTACTCCGACTCTGCGTATGCTACTCAGGCTGTCCATTTCAACCTCTCCGAGTGGAAAAGAAACGGCTTCTTGACTGCTAAAGGCCGACCCATCACACATAGAGCCCTGGTGGAGAGGCTGGACAGCGCTCTCCAGCTTCCAAAACAGGTAAGCGTCATCAAGTGCCAAGGGCACTCCAAGTCAGACAACTTTGAGGCCAGGGGAAACGAGGTGGCGGATGAGGCCGCAAAGAAAGCTGCCAACTACAAGGTCAGTACTCCAGGAGTGTTTGTGGTACGGGACGAGGGGCCAGACCTGGCAGACTGCCTGCCCGATCTGTCCCTTCAGGTTTTAGCTGAAGCCCAAACAAAAGCAGCTCCTGAAGAAATATCCATGTGGGTTCAAAAACGGGCAAAGAAGGATCCAGATACTGGCATCTGGTACGGCCCTGATGGCCGCCCCGCCCTGCCCATGGGGGACCTCTCACGAGCAGCTTTATCTGAGGCACATGGGCTAGCCCATGTGGGTCAGGTACAGATGCTCAGGAATATGTCACAATGGTGGCATCCCTTTAAGACAAGCATGATCCAAGATTATACTAGGTCCTGTCAAATATGTCAGAATTATAACCCATCGCCCTGCTCAGCTGTTTCCCCAGGAAAATTCACACCTGCTGCTTGGCCTGGGGCACATGTTGTGATGGACTTCACAGATATGATTAACAGGTTGAAGGAAGTCTCGACCTCTGCGAGAAGGAGGCCTCGGAGGATCCACCTGCCTGGGTCCGTGTGAAGGTGTTCAAAAGGAAGTGGAACGAGCCCCGCTGGACCGGACCCTTTGAAGTGGTGGCCCGCACTCGCAAAGCTGTTCAACTGAAGGGACACGGGAACAAGTGGTTTCATCTCTCTCATACGAGACCATCTGACCCACCCTCGTAACCACGCTCACGGGTTGGACAGTGACTCACACACACGCTTACACTCGCTCTTAATATGTTGCCTTGGGACAGGGAGCCCTGGCCCACGACCAAAAGAGGGAGAGCCATCCTATGGGCTATCGCTGCAGTTGGTTTGGTCGTGGTCCTGGGAATTTTAACATGGGAAGTGTTAGAAAACACACAGCTAAGAGACAGGGCCAGACTTGTAACACAATCCAGTCTTTGGTCCAATAAGACTGACAGAAATAAAAGATCCATAGGAGAAGGCAGCGTTAGAGACTCTCTACCTACGATTGTGACAGTAAAATGCCCGGTGGGTGCGACAATTACAGCCCACATACCAATGGCAACAATCTTTCCATTATCCTTTCGACCTGACTTCACACTCTACCTGTGTTACACACCGTCAACATGTAAATATGAGAGACATGGAAAAAGCTTTAGAGCATCGGTGGACTGCACCTGTGATGCTTGGGAGTATGTTATATCCAATACAGGTCCTGATTGGGGTTATAATAATGAACACAGATTGAAGGGACGAGTGATTCTGACTACAGACCACTCACAAACAACGGTGCTAGTCACTGTGAAAAATTGTGGGATTGATGTGAATGGGACTTACGTTATTGGACATTATCCAGGAGACATTAGACAATGGATTTCAATTGCCCTACCCGAGGACAAGGAGCTAGACAAGGAGGCCATAAATAGTGAAGTATGGCAAGACAAACAAAACGTACAGGTGACTGCTGACTGGACTGTTTCTGAATTGTTAAAACAAGCAACTGGATATGGGGATAGAAACGCTTGGTTGTGGACAGTGGAGCACATGTCAGCGGCTGCTGGCTTTGACGATTGTGTTGTGTGTTCCACTGCACGTCCCACTTTGTATACAGCCCCTGCTCCACTTTTCCCAGAAGATGTAGATGGTTATAATTGTATGATAAAGTTGTTTTGGCAAGAAAAGGACCTGACTGAGGAGACAAAGACAGTCCCTAGCAACTGTTCAATGTTTGAAGTATTGTTTCCAGAATTGGATTCAGAAATTCAGCCCCCTATGTTTTCCCACAGGAAAAGCAATTACACCTGTTTCCACTCACTCAATGGAGGGACGAGGCCGCGTCTCCAGTGGGGGTTCCTTCCAGCAGACTGGTGTGTCAACAACGTCACCCTGCCCAGTCCGGTCCCCATGACCCGGACCAGAGGTGATTTGTATTGGTTGTGTGGAGATTTAAAACTTAGACATAGACTAATAAAAAATTTTACAGGCAGTTGTGCAATGGTGCGATTAATGATGCCCATTTCCATAATTGGCCATAAGCCATCCCTAGACAGTCCCCACCCACTGCATAGATTTAAAAGAGCAATACCATTCCTAGATACTGGGAAAGATAATCCAACTTACATGGACTCTATAGGTGTTCCACGTGGAGTCCCTCATGAATTCAAACTGGTAGATCAAGTTGCAACAGGTTTCGAAAATCTTCCAATAATTTCCGCTATTTTCCCTATCACGCCAAACAAAAATGTAGATAGAATTAATTTCATTTGGTATACTATGCTTAGGCTTGCCAATCACACCAGGGACGCAATAGAGGGATTGGCGGAGCAGCTGGGGGCCACCTCTCTGGTAGCATTTCAAAACAGAGTGGCTCTAGACATGCTCTTAGCAGAGAGAGGTGGGGTCTGCAGTTTATTTGGTACAGAATGTTGTGTATACATTCCAAATAACACACATCCAGATGGATCAGTTTCCAGGGCTCTGGCTGGTCTCAAAATGCTGTCAGAGCAAATGCATGACGTTTCTGGAGTCCCGGAGAACCCACTGGAGGCGTGGCTGGACAGCATCTTGGGGAAGTGGAAGCATGTAATTTTGTCTGTTATCACAAGCCTTGCGGCCATCTTTGCAATAATAATGGTTGTAGGATGCTGCTGTATACCTTGTATACGTTCTCTTTGTGTTAAAGCTATAGACACCGCTGTTAACCCTGGACTGAGAGGTCAAATGCTTGCATTGGTTGAGGATTCCCCCGTCCCGTCGCCTGAGGAAGGTTATTGAAATGTGTGGCCTTTTTTAATAGCGGCCAAAAGAGGGGACTGTTGTATTAAATATAGGCTAAAAGGCGATGTGAATTAGATTGACCTGAAATTGAACTCTGTCTGTCTCCAAGCAAAAAGAAAGACCTTGTATTGCCCTACTCCCCTTGTCCCATTTTGTCCAAAGTGCATGGGTGAGTTAATGATAGTTAATCTGGGGGGATTCTGCTAATCCTTTCAAGTTGTGAAAGAAGGAGATGGAGTCCAGAATCTGGAGGAGAAGCCTTGAGATCCCTCTGCCTTATCTCAAAGGAACTAATAAATCGATAGAATTAGGGAGGGGTAGTGCGTGAATGATTTCTGTTTAGGTCTGGCGAGACGGAGAAGACCTGATGGAGGCCGGACCCTGGACCAAGAGCTGACTGATACGACACGCCCCTTCTTCCCCTTGCACATTTACTTAATGAATAGCTTGAATGTGTGTGTTAGTTTTTCAGTCCGGATCAGGGTTTAGCTGTGTGACTTGGTGGAGCGCCCAACCAATGTTACACCTTATATAGAGGATAGGGATTAGATACTTTTTGGTCCGGACAGCTGTTTTAGATTCTTTTTGTATTAGGGAAATAAACCTTTTTGAATTTAACTTTCTGAATCATGGTCATCTTTATAAGGGATTTTGAACACGTCATTTTTTTAATATAATACTCTCTATTCATTTGTCACATGGTATTTCTGTCCAAAAAGTTACATAATACTTTTTCAACCGGAGAAAAACACACCACAGTATTTTCTGGGACTCATTAAAACATACAACCGAAAAAATTAGCAGTGTGATGATTTATTATTCGTTACTGAAAAAATATTATTCATTTTATCGCCGTGTAAAAGATGTTTGTTTCTGAGAACAAGGACTCGATGAAAAGATGACACATCTTAGTGGGTGGTTGATTTCACTGTGGCCGTATGATATTTGTGTGACATGCGATAGTAGTTATAGTATATAGTACTTCTTTTATATCTGTGTCTCTAATTTTCTACTTTGAAATTGTGTTGAACAGGTTTTACAATAAACATCTTGATTGATTGAGATTTGCACTCAAAAAATAAAATGATTTCCTTCTAAAATGAATTGGGTTTTTTTTTTTTTGCATTGAAGGTTAATTTCTATGCAACTGGCAGAGGGATGTGTAGATTTTGTTGTCTTTTACAAGATTTGAAAATTACCCACTTCAACCACTGCCATGGGATTGTTGTAAACGTCATTTAGCTTGAGAAATTCACAAACAACCACAGCAACAACTTATTCTTGTATGATAACTAAATAACTACTCCTAAATAACGACAGAAGTCATCTCAGAGGACTTAACAAAACCATTGAAATCACCAACACAGATCAGAGAATCAACAGTTAAGACACAAAATATACACATATGAATTGGTCCATAGGGAGAGACCAATGTCCATGAATGTTGATACATTTCCATACATATTGTAGAACGTTAAAGTGTCCTGGATCATCACCACATCCTTCTTGTTGGACACTAACTGCCCGACAGACCCTCCTGCATCGGCAAAGAAAAGCTCACAAAAACCCAGTGGGAAAAAAATGGAGAAACCTCGGGGAGACCCACATTTGAGAAAGGGATCCGCTCCAAAACGGACGGACGGGCTATAGATCCAGGACCTAATACAGAACGAGGACCAATGCCACGCAGCGCCCGCAGAGCATGGACAGGTCCAGTGCAGGACTGAAGCCCTCCCAGGCGGGTCGAGCAGGACAGTCTGCAGGTGTGGATGGAGGAGGCCAGGTTCAGAAGTCCCGTTGTTGCGCCATGAAACGACAATGGGACAAAGGGTGAATAGCAATGAACACACTACAGTCAAAATCTTAGTAATGCAGATGGATAAAGTAGGAAGGAGGAGAAGATAGTGCTCAAGTTACCATACTTCTCCCAGCAAACTGACTCCCTATGCAGCTTGACTGACACTCTGAGGAGTTTAGCCTTCCCTGAGTCTTACCTTCCTAGCCGTATGCTAAACTAAAGAGGACTATTTAGCAGCAGCCACTTCTAGGCTAGCCCAGGCCACAACACCAAAGATTTGTGGATACACACCAAGTGTGTAAACCTAACCAGACAAACAACATAACCATATGCTAAATTTAAGTAGAGTATTTTAAGCCTGGCCTTGAATGTGGAGACCGTATCTGCTTCCTTAACATGAATGGGAAGCTGATTCCATATTAAAGGAGCTTGGAAGCTAAAGGCTCTGCCGCCGAAGGTGCTTTTTGAGACCTTAGGGACCATCAGACGTCTGGCGTTTTGCGGGCGCAATGCTTGCGGTCAAAACAAAATAATGGAATAACTTTTTTATTTCAAAACAAGTGAGATGTCACGGTGGTAACACACTCCCACTATTACATCATACTATTTATGATCTGACTAATGATGCCTTCATGTGTTGTATGTTCTGCTTTGGTAAACAATGCTATCAGTCTGAGAATTTACACATGAACACCCCCTCTCGTTCTTGTACTTTTAACTGAAGAACTGGAAGATCATTTTGTGCTATAAGTGGGCGAGATGATCACATTTGACCTTTGATATTGTGGACATAGAAATTGTGAATATCTCTAATTCCTGTCAAACCGGAGAGAAAACAAGCAGGGGAGGACTTCTTGTTTGCAAACTTTAATTGAAAAACCAAGGATTCTCTGGATGGGGTTTGTTGACGTAAGTCCTCAGTTTTCATAGATACATCTACATCTTTCTCAATGGTTGGGTTTCCTATAAATCCACACACTTGTGCATACACTTGGCTCGGCCTTGTCTTCTCTAACTCTGAACACTCTGCACCAGCAACCTCAGGATTATACAAGGTCTAGGGCTGACTTCCGAGATAAGCTTTATCGTATTATTGAGTGATACTTGCTAAAACCAAAAATACAAACATGCATGGGTATAAGACTCTATGGTAGTACCCAGGAGTTTGCATGTTCTCCCCGTGCCTACATAGGTTTCCTCCAGGTGCCAGGTCGGTTTCCCTGCCTACATAGGTTTCCTCCAGGTGCTCCGGTTTCCCTTACCACAAAAAATATACACACTAGGTGAAATCCTCCAGCTACGGTAGTCCTGACCAAGCCAAATATCAACATCTGGAGACGGGTTCCCAGGCGCTGTTACTACGGTGATCACTGCTACTGACGTGAGCCCTTCTCCCACTTAAAACAATGACAGATGTCTGTAATTTTCATCATAGGTACACTTCAACTGTGAGAGACAGAATGTGAAAAAAATATCCAGGAATTCACAGTGTAGGATTTGTTAAGAGTTTATTGGTAAATTATGGTGGAAAATAAGTATTTGGTCACTTCAAACAAGGAAGATCTCTGGCTCTCACAGACCTGTAACTTCTTCTTTAAGAAGCTCTTCTGTCCTCCACTTGTTACCTGTATTAATGGCACCTGTTTGAACTGGTTATCTGTATAAAAGACACCTGTCCACAGCCTCAAACAGTCAGACTCCAAACTCCACTATGGCCAAGACTAAAGAGCTGTCAAACGACACCAGGAAAAGAATTGTAGACCTGCACCAGACTGGGAAGAGTCTACAATAGGCAAGCAGCTTGGTGTGAACAAATCAACTATAAAATGATAAAATGAAATGTAAAATGATCATGAGAACGGTGATCAAAAATCCCAGAACCACACGGGGGGACCTGGTGAATGACCTGCAGAGAGCTGGGACCAAAGTAACAAAGGGTATCCTCAGTAACACACTACGACGACAGGGAATCAAATCCTGCAGTACCAGACGTGTCCCCCTGTTGAAGCCAGTGCATGTCCAGGCCCGTCTGAAGTTTGCCAGAGAGCACATGGATGATACCGCAGAGGATTTGGAGAATGTCATGTGGTCAGATGAAACCAAAGTAGAACTGTATAGCTGTAACTGTAACCATAGTAGAAGAATACTGGGTTGCATCCCAAGAACACCATACCTACTGTGAAGCATGGGGGTGGAAACGTCATGCTTTGGGACTGTTTTTCTGCTAAGGGGACAGGACGACTGATCTGTGTTACGGAAAGAATGAATGGGGCCATGTATCGTGAGATTTTGAGCCAAAACCTCCTTCCATCAGTGAGAGCTTTGAAGATAAAACGTGGCTGGGTCTTCCAGCATGACAATGATCCCAAACACACCGCCCGGGCAACGAAGGAGTGGCTCCGTAAGAAGCATTTGAAAGTCCTGGAGTGGCCTAGCCAGTCTCCAGACCTCAACCCCATTTAAAATCTGTGGAGGGAGTTGAAAGTCCGTGTTCACTGCTCTCGAGAAGATCTGCATGGAGGAATGGGCCAAAATACCAGCTACTGTGTGTGCAAACCTGGTAAAGACCTATAGTAATCGTTTGACCTCTGTTATTGCAAACAAAGGTTATATTACCAAGTATTGAGTTGAATTTTTTTATTGACCCTTATTTTCCACCATAATTTACAAATAAATTCTTAAAAAATCCTACAATGTGAATTCCTGTTTTTTTTCACATTCTGTCTCTCATAGTTGAAGTGTACCTATGATGAAAATTACGGACATCTGTCATTATTTTAAGTGGGAGAACTTGCACAATCGGTGGCTGACTAAATACTTTTTTGCCCCACTGTATGTGAAAGATCACTGGGAAACCTTGTCCTAGATGAGGTTTGTTTACACTGGGGTTTTGGAGCAGGTCGTGCAGAACTTATTTGAAGCAGGATGCTCTTTGTTTAAGATTTGTGTGCATTTGCATTCAACTCACATACAACGTATTTGCACATATGACATGCCCAATGTTTAGCATTTGTGTCTTCCCTGCGTGTTACCACATCTACCAACCTCTAGAGGGCACATTTTGTCAACATAACACAGCCTTCCATGCAGACCGCTTGTAATGCAGCATAACTTTACTCCTTAAAAAGAAGAATGAAAAAGAAAAACCATTAAAATAATGACTTATTACTACTACAACTACAAAACATCAAATATTCTTGCTGTTGCTTTGAGTAGTATATACTGCAATACAAGCATGCCATGAGTTTTGATTAGTAAATTTGGAGGCATGTATTTATGATGTACCCGGGAATAAGAAACCTTTATGGAAATGACCTCTTGGCTTTTGGCTTTAGATCCTCACATGCAGCTTCATTTTCATTTGTCCTAGGATCAAAATATGACAATGGAACTTCTATTTGTAATCATATTTTTATTCAAAACTTGTTTGGTTTCCTCTCAGTGCTCAGAGTTCCGTCAAAGTGGAGATTTTGTATTGGGTGGACTATTTGATATTCACTACGTCAGTAAGGCCTCGGCTCACAGCCTCCCTGTAGCCGTGCACTGCTCCAGGTAAGCTCAACCATTTACATTCAGCTGTTTTTTATTAAAGTTCATATTCTTAGTTAAGTTAAGTTAAGGGTAGACTATGCAACTCTTCATGTGGGTGCTCCGCTTTTTGTTTTTAATATCCTTCTATATATTGTTATAGGTAATATGAATTTAATAACACATAAGTATGAAAAGATGAATGTTATGCAGATGAATGTCCCGTTCCATGGATTTTTGATCAAGAGTAACTGTACTTAGCACTGTTGTCCAGAAAAGGTCAAAAATGATACGTATTAGTAAAAAAACGTTCCTAATTTGGTTGAGTTTTGATTTGTATTTGTTTTTGTTTAGTCACAACTTTGTCTTGCCGAGTTACCGGAGGTTTCAGACCATGCGATTTACTATTGAAGAAATCAACAACTCCACTTCTCTCCTTCCCAATGTCACGCTGGGATATGAGATTTTCGACCACTGCTCCAACACTCGTAACTTCCCAAATGTTTTCAAATTCCTTTCCCTGGAACGGAGGCTGCAGCCCTGGTACCACCTCAGCCTGGGCCTCTCCGATGTGGCTGCAGTGGTGGGCCCTTTCTCCAGCTCAGACACGACCACCATCGCTCCACTGCTCATGAACCGGGTGCCTATGGCAAGTCTGAACATGTGAAAGTTTCTAGGTCATACATAAATCAGTATAGTGACGGATTTTAAAGATGCACAATGCAACTTTCCAAATGATGCAAAAAGATAGAAGGACCACTTTTATGTACGCTTTGGTCCATCTAAATGTTGATGTTAATTTGAGGAGGTAACAACAATTCATTTAACTAGTTTCTCTCAAACAGTTTAGTTCTATTTCTTGTTTAAATATGAAAGCATGAAGTATTTTTTTTCAACCTCTGCCAAATCTTTAGACACAAAACATTTTTGTTCTTTCTGTTGGAACAAACATAGTGAATTATTGCTAAAGATAAAACTACAGTACCCCAGCTTGAATCTTGCAGCTCTAATATTTAGCTCTTTCCCCCTCCTGTTCTTTGTCCACAGATCAGTTATGGGGCGGGTAGTTCCGTTTTTTCGGAAAAAGTGAAGTTCCCCTCTTTTCTGCGGACGGTGCATTCCAACAGAGATCTGGTGGAGGTGATCGTGAACATGTTGCTTTATTTCAAATGGCACTGGGTGGCTTTCTTGAACGACAGCAGTGCTTACGGCAAGGACGGCCTGGCTCTGTTTAGGAAGAGAATAGAACACACTGATATTTGTCTGGCTTACAATAAAGCGGTCGATTTACAAACCAACCCTTCTAACGTGATCAAGGAAATTGAAGAAAATCGAGTGAATGTTGTTGTTGTGTTTCTGGCAGAAGAAACGGCTGAATATTTGATTGGGGCATTTATAAATCTCATCTCGACCAAGAAAGTGTGGATAGCAGTGGATGCCTGGTCTTTGAACACAAATCTCCCCAAAATGAGGGGGATAAGGGATATTGGCACAGTATTGGGAGTTGCCCAGCCAAAAGTACATATACCAGGTTTCAATGACTTTATCCGTTCATTAAAGAGACAATGTCACAAGGAAACAGGAGAACTGTGCAACCAACATTGTCGCCGTTGTGAAAACTTAACCTCAGAACAGATTATATTATCAGACCCGTCCTATTCTTACAATGTCTATACTGCGGTCTACGCCATCGCCCACGCCCTGCACAACTTACTGCAGTGTGGCAGCGGCGAATGCCAAAAGAATACAACAGTGCAGCACCATAAGGTAAACAAACTCCACTCTGTTTTCCATATTATAGTGTGTTCTGTGCAGCGTCTGTTTAGAGAATAGCACACTCCACAGTTGTCACGTGATCAGACAAACACCAGCAACATAAAGGCACAAGGATTTAATAAGGGATGCAATCTATATGTAGAAATGTGAAACCAAAAATCTGCTCAATTTCCCACTAAATAAAAGCTTATCACTAAAGCCATACCTACATTTTTTTTTATGTGCCAGGTGATGCAAACCCCCTGATAGTTAAGATATATATTTCTATTTCTTATTTTGACGCCAGGAAAAGAAAGGGTAAAACAACAAACATTTCAGCTGCTTATTGAGGTTTCCGTAGCAGCCAACTTCACTCTTACTTTAGTTATTAACTTCCTTCCTTGTTTGCACTGGTTGCATGTTGTAGATGTAGTGGTTCTCATGGCACCCCCTCCACAGCTTCATGGTTATCTCTGCTCTATGACCCGCACTAATATTGGGTATAGGTTTAAGGTATAAGATTGTTCACCTCACCACTGAGTTGCAATGCACTGTTGCACGTGCCTAACGGTACTGATGTCAAAGTAACAGAGTGTGATTCTCAAGTTCTGCATGTCTTTTCTTTGGACGCTAAATGTTTATATGTTTATTCAAGGTTCTGCAAGAGTTGGGAAAGTCAAATTTTTCCCTTTTACAAGACATCATTCGGTTTGATGAAAATTACGACCCAAAGTTTGGATTTTACACCATTGTATACTGGAACAGCAGCGGAGACACAGAGGAAGTGGGATTCTACAGATTTGACACAACTCTCAAACTCCACATCAACACAACCAGAGTGGAGTGGTACACAAACGGAGAGGCAAGTATTATTTCATTGCATAATCATGAAGGGGAAAAGTTTAGAAAAATATGAACAAAAGACATAAATAAAGACATTCAACTTATTAATCAGTCAAAGTCAACTTCAATTGTATGCAAGGATTGTATATTTCTGACCATGGGGGATAAAATATCTAAAATAGTCCCTCTCTTTGGCGTAACTTCAACCAGTAATATATCTTGGGAACAATGTTTAAACGAGGGGCCTTAAAGATTGGAATACATTTTGACCAATAGGAAAGCTGCAGGGGTGATTCTGGGCGGGTCTAACTAGTGTGTCTTCACCATAATATGGTCCATGGTCTTCACGCTCTCTCTTCACAGATTTAAAAGTAAAATACAAATTAGACAAAAAAACTATAACCATGAGTCAGCTCAGTTTGTACAAAAATCCAGAGTAAGTGTTTTAAACAACAGAGAGGCAAGTATTATTTCATTGCAAAATAATGAAGGGGGAAAGATGGTCGCAGCCTGGCCCATTCAAAGTTCAGATCTATTATACAGTTATATATGTATGTATGTGTGTGTGTGTGTGTGTACGTATGTGTGGGTGTGTGTGTGTGTACGTATGTATGTATGTGTGTGTGTATGTACTGTATGTGTCTGTGAGTGTGTGTACTGTATGTGTGTGTGTGTGTGTGTGAGTACGTATGTATGTGTGTGTGTGTGTGTGTGTGTGTGTGTGTGTATGTATGTATGTATTTATTTAAAGCAAGATAAGATAAGATATACTTTATTGATCTCACAAAGGAGAAATTTACAAATAGTGTTCAGAGAGAAAAACACAAAAAGGTAGACCTACAATAACCTACACACTGAATATCACTTACTGTAGTTCTGTGACTTGACTTGTATCTGTATTACACAGACTCCTGTTTCACGGTGCTCCCAGGACTGCTTGGTGGGATATGCAAAAAAACAACAAGGTCCCCACAAGTGCTGCTTCACCTGTCAGATTTGCCCCAATGGAACGTACATTAACGTCACAGGTAAAACAAAATAATTACAGTTCTTTAATCATGGAGTCAAGAGCTACAATCACAAGTCGTGTGGTGGAGCCGAATACAGCAGAGGGCGCCCCGGGAGTGCGATTTAAAGAAGCTGCAGTTATGATTCAGGTTGGGCACTGAGGACATACCGTTTTTTTCATGTTACTGCTTCAAAAATAATTTACTTCTGTTTTTGTAAATGTTTTCCTGAAATATGAGTGTTAAATAGATTGGCATATCCGATTGAACACTTTTGCTTTATTTTCCAGCGCCAAACCGCTATCTCACATGGAACAACTTTACTTTTTACTTACTGTGATAGCTTTTGAGTTTGTAGTCAGCTTTACCTTCAATTAAAAGACCACAACACAATCTGGGTGGCAAAGTGAAAACATATGAAAGAAAGTAGAATGCTTTTTTTAAGGTTAGACTAGGATTAGGGAAGGAGTAGGATAAGGTTTGGGTAATTTTAGGGTTAGGACTAAGGTTAGGTTTAGATTTTCAGGAAGACTGTTTCCCCCCCATGTTTAGTCGCCCTAGAAGGAGGCTGGTCCCTGTGCTCCTCAGAGTCCCAGCAGAAGGTCTTTCCCTGTGCTCCTCAGAGTCCCATCAGAAGGTCTTTCCCTGTGCTCCTCAGAGTCCCATCAGAAGGTCTTTCCCTGTGCTCCTCAGAGTCCCATCAGAGGGTCTTTCCCTGTGCTCCTCAGAGTCCCATCAGAGGGTCTTTCCCTGTGCTCCTCAGAGTCCCATCAGAGGGTCTTTCCCTGTGCTCCTCAGAGTCCTATCAGAGGGTCTTTCCCTGTGCTCCTCAGAGTCCCATCAGAGGGTCTTTCCCTGTGCTCCTCAGAGTCCCATCAGAGGGTCTTTCCCTGTGCTCCTCAGAGTCCCAGCAGAAGGTCTTTCCCTGCGCTCCTCAGAGTCCATACGGCACAAATATGTTGCAGATCCAATCCAATCCACTTTTTTTATATGGCACATTTTATAAAACACGTGTCCAAAGTGCTGCACCGATAAAAGTGACGCATAATTAAAATATACAAGTCGGCCAGCTTCAAATAAAAATAACTATTAGAATGAATTAAAACAAGTAAAATAAAACAATGAACTATATACATAAATAGTTAATTATACTCTGGTGCAAGGCCATGGGGAGACTTCTGCACAACTTTGGCTGCTTTAAAGTCTCTTTTCTTGTCACTGCAATTGTTAAACCCTGAACATTTTACATTGTGGCATGTCTCCAAAATGTACAGAAAGATCTTTATGTCTGATGCATTTTCCGTAGATGATGCGTACAGTTGCCAGGACTGCACTGCGGCAGAGTGGTCGTCTGAAGCCAGCACCTCATGTTACCTGCGCTCAGTGGAGTTTGTACCGTTCGAGGATGCAGTTGCCATAGTGATCATGGTTGGGACTGGGGTTTTGGTGGCCATCTCTCTCCTCACTGCTCTGCTCTTTGCTCTGAACTACAACACTCCGGTGGTGAGGTCTGCAGGTGGACCCATGTGCTTCCTGATACTTGCCAGCCTCAGCCTCTGCAGCATCAGTGTGTTTTTCTATTTCGGTAAACCTACTTTGGCCTCATGTATGTTACAATTCTTATTCTTTTTATGGTTCTTCTCTGTGTGCCTGGCCTGCTTTGTTGTACGCTCTTTCCAAATTGTCTGCATATTCAAAATTGCCGCAAAATATCCATCTCTGCAGCGCTGGTGGATGATGTACCACGGACAATGGCTGGTCATAACATTGGCGTTTGTGATCCAGACGGTCTTGCTCATCTTTGGGTATTCTCTCTCAACTCCCAAGCCTTTCAGTGACTATGAATGGGACCAGTCTAGAATCATTCTTAGCTGTGAAGGAAATATAACGGCCAATTGTGGATCTGCCATATTGCTAGTTTGTTTATGCTGTCTTTGTTTTGCTTTCTCCTACATGGGAAAAGATCTGCCGAAGAACTACAACGAGGCCAAATCTATAACTTTCTGTCTTCTCTTGATTGTTTTCACTTGGGTTGCTTTTGCCACACAGTTTATTCTTTACAAAGGAAAGTATATTCAAACTCTAAATGCCATGGCGGTCCTCTCCAGTCTCTACTCTTTCCTCTTGTGGTATTTTATTCCAAAATGTTACATCATCATTTTCCAGCCCCAGAGAAACACAGCACAATACTTCCAGGGCCTTATCCAAAATTACACTAAAACTATGAGCCAATAATGGAAAGTTATACAAATGTTCTTTCCTTTTGAATGAATGAATGTTTATTTTTGGTCAATTGTTTGATTAATAACATTTTACATTCACTGACTATATTACAACCCAAAAACAGGATTGGCCTTTAGAGACTTGCTGATGTGAGACCCACCTGACATCAAGTCACATACAGGTCATTAACTACCTTAACACAACAACTATGTAAACAAAAAATAAAGTACATTTTACTGATTTCAAACATAAAATGCCTTTTTGCTATGTGTTTTGTTCATTTGTCTTTATTGTTATATTTTTTATGATTATAATTACTTTCAAGGGAAGGTATATAAATTCATTATTTCACCTTTTAAGGAAGTTTTAAATGTTGATAATTTGTTAATTAACATTAATGACATCTATTTAACATTGTTAACACAATTAACATTAATGACATCTATTTATAAATATTTTCTTTAGAAGCATGATTAGTACCAACCTTATTTGCCATGATCAAAAAATGTTAATAATTAAATATTTAGTCATCTATGTTATTATTTGCTTGAAAGAAAGATCCCTGTGAGTCACTATTTGACTCTTTGGGCTGACAGAAAATGTATTGATTGATTTTTCACATTTCTACTTTTTCAAAGCAGGGACTACTTTAGTTACATGGATTTTATTTACATAGTTATCCCAGCTTTAGAGTAGGACACTTGGTTGGATTGGGGTTTTTAATTATGCATGTGTGTCTTCATAAACTGATTTGTGACATTTGAAATATACAATACCGTTCAAAAGTTTTGGGTGTTTTCCATGAAAAGTCACACTTATTCACCACTATACGTTGTGAAAGGAATAGAAAATAGAGTCAAGACATTGACAAGGTTAGAAATGATGATTTGTGCTTGAAATAAGATTTGTTTTACATCCAACTTTGCTTTCGTCAAAGAATCCTCCATTTGCAGCAATTACAACATTGCACCAAAAACCAGACATTTGCAGCTAGAATAGTCATTTACCACATAAGCAATGTATAGAGTATATTTCTTTACAGTTAAGACTAGTTTAAAGTTTTCTACAGTGCTTTTCCTTAAAAAATAAGGACATTTCAATGTGACCCCAAACTTTTGAACGGTAGTGTATGTCATAATGTTGTATTACAATAAAGAGCATAAATGATGGACTTTACTTTCACGCTGGTCTCTATTATTTGTGTTTTTTGCATTGTGTGAATTGTAATGGATTTCTGTTGACAATAAATGTGTACTCATGATCACAATGTTCAGCATGGTGATCACCCAACACATAGATTGAAGCTAATAGACCACATAAATATTGCACAAGGGTTTTTATTGCCTCTTTTGGTTTGATAGCGCGGCTTTTTGACTAAACTGCTATATTTTTGACCCACATTATGAAAAAGCGTGGCAAAAAATGTTCTGTCAATAATGCGATAACAATCCACCCTTGTCCTGTGGCGCCACCTGCATGTGAAAGCCTGAGAAGCTGCACCAGTTTATCTGTGGCTTACCACCACTTTGTATAGAGTGAAGGAATAATAAACTATAAATGCACCTTTCACTTTAGGTGCAAAGAAACTCTAAGCTCACTGCAGTCATGGACCTGAATGGACCAAACCTTACATAAACAATAGATTTGCAATTGAGAAGATTCAGGAAGACAAAGAGTAAGGAAATTCAAGTAAAGACAGAAGGAGGAGAGGTGTCTTCTTTTTTTTCAGTTTACACTTTCAATGGAGATTGTACTGGTTCAACTCGATTCAAATAGTGGTGCAGCCATTTATCACAACCCACTGATGGTAAATGATTCTTTCAAATGGCTGTGGTACAATTGTGGTTGTCTGGAAATGGAAGTAGCAACTTACCACAAACAAATGACACAGGTTTGGTATAAGAATAAACCTCAGATGTAGTTCAAAATGTGGTCTATGGAATTACAAAGGGGAAAATAGTCAGGGTAAATGACAGTAAAATATGTACTGAATATGAACAACAAAAGCTAATGTAACTTAGAGTTATATACACACTGAGGAAGAAAGGAATGACGGAGCTGCACCATGCTAGTCTTAGGAACTATTTAGCACTGGTGAGCTGCTGTCCTGAGGGAACAGGTAAGAGACACAAAAGAGGGGCATGAGGCAGAGCAGTGGGCGGGAGCACCTGTGTGAGGGGATTTTGGACAGTAAAAGTCAAAGTTCATTTGGGGAGGCAACAGCGGCTCAGTTGGTAGAGCATTGGTCTTTGGACCTAATGGACGTGGGTTCGATCCCACATGACTCATGTCATCTGCTCCCCTACTGATGTCTGCTATCGTTGTGTCCCTGGGCAAGATACTTGGGCGGCACGGTGGCTGAGTGGATGGCACTCTCGCCTATCAGCAAGAAGGTCCTGGGTTCGAATCCCGGTCGGAACAGTGCCTTTCTGAGTGAAATTTGTATGTTCTCTCTGTGTCTGCGTAGGTTTCCTCCGGGTGCTCTGGTTTCCCCTACCACTAAAAACATGCACAATAGGTATGAATGTAAATGAGAGTGTGAATGGATGGAGTTGATTGGAGCTGATGGTCCAGTGTGTTCGGTAACTTGCTTCTGTCATCACCGTGTGTGGAATGATTGGAACAATATCTGAACTCTGAACTGACTTGTAAAGCGCTTTGGGTGGCCTTGGTCTGTAAAATGTGCTATATAAATAAACATTACTTATTTACTTACTTCACCGCTGAAAGATCAGTGAGGGGCTGGTGCTATGTGAATTGGGTGGTAGCTCTGATGCCACCCCCCTGACCCAGAAATGGATAATAAAAGGATGAAAATGAATGAAGAAACGGCAAGGAAACCACACAGACAAACGGGCTGTAGATCCAGGACTCAAGCTACAGAACGAGGACCAAGGCCACGCGGCGCAAGAATCAGGTTGTAGAACGAGGAAAGGTGCTGGGCAGGACCGAAGCAGCTCCCGATGGGGAGGGGATGGAGCCCACGAGGCGAGTCGGGCAGGGCTGTGCATAGGTGCAAATGGAGGGGGCCAGGTTCAGGCGTACCATTGTTGCTCTATGAAACAGACAATGGGACAACGGGTGAATAGCAATGGACAGACTACAGTCAAAAACCTAATAGTGCAGACAGATTAAGTAGGAGGATTATAACGGCTCCAGAAATTATTGTTTGGATAAAAGGCCGACGCTCTGACTGACATTTAGTTGACATTTATTCTCAACAAAGCCACCTAAAGCACCGTGAAAAACTACGGTGCATAAAAAACATAAAACAATATAAAATGATCTATTATCTATCTACTATCTAGACTCTCTGGAGTTGTCAGTACTTTTCGCTGTCCATATCCTTACTTTCTGCTCAGCACGAGGTTACCTTGTCCGTCCTCTTCTCTCGCTCTGTTTACAACTCCACCACAAGGGGTCAGAAGCGACACACAATAAATACACTATTATAAACAGATTATAAACAGAATAAAAAGATACATCCATCCATCCATCCATCCATTTTCTTCCCCTTAATCCATTTCTGGGTCGGGGGGGTGGCAGTCAAAGCTGCACCCAGTCCACAGAGCACCAGCCCCTCACTGATCCTCCTGCAGGTGGTGAGTCCACAGGAGCCTTGATCTTTCAGTTGGGGCTTTGGGCAAAGTAGGGTTAAGTGTCTTGCCCAAGGACACAACGACAGCAGTCATCAGTGGGAGTCGTGAAGTAGGTCTTACGGTGGGCTCGAACCCACGACCTTCAGGCCCAAAGGCCAATGCTCTACCAACTGAGCTACTGTCGCCCCGAATAAAAAGATACATGTAAACAAAAAATGGTCAATGACAGCTACAAGGATAGTGCTCAAGTTACCATAGGTCTATAGAGTAACCCAGCTATTCGTTACAAGGTTAGTATCTTAAAACTGGGTTAGAAAGTCTAAATCTAACTTTTTATTTTGTGTAATTTGAAAAATTTAAAATGTTTGTGAAGAAATGAGAGCACAACCTCCTGTCTGAGTATACATTTGGCATACTTGTAAGAAAGAGCCCTGTGAGTCACTATTTGACACCAAAGATGTGACAGAAACCAAAAATACATGCATTTGAATGCTGTTGACAGAAGCAAACTAAGGGCAATGCCCTAATGACATGGGTTTTTAACAGACACGTGGTGTGTTTGAAAGTTAGATAACCCAGCTTTAAGTGCACTGTGACTGACTTCTCCAGGTTACCTTTCTTGTTCTGGTTCAACTCGATTCAAATAGTGGTGTGGTCATTTATCACAACCCACTGATGATAAATGATTCTTTCAAATGACTGTGGTACAATTGTGGATGTCTAGAAATGGATGTAGCAACTTACCACAAACATTGACACAGGTTTGGTATTTGAACAAACCTCGGCTGTCGTTTTTAATGTAATATTTCAGTTTGGTTTGGGGTTGGCTTGGGAAATCCCGGGTCTTCCCCTTCCTGGACACCTCCTCAGAACCGACGCCCGAGCAACCTAAACTGGCTCCTCTCCTCTTCTCGAGGAGAAGCAGAAGCTTTTCTCTAAACTCCTCCTGTGTGACTGAGCTCCACACCCTATAAGTGAGCGCTCAGTCACTTTGCGGAGGAAACTCATTGTGATTGCTAGAATCCACAATCTCGTCTTTTTGGTCATTTCCCAAAGCTCATGACCATAGGTGTCTGGGTACAGACACTGATCCTTCAGCCTCACAACACACAGTGCCAATCATCTGTCGATGTCCCTCACTTGTGAACACAACGTGCATGAACTCCTCCACTTGAGGAAGGATCTCTGCACCCGGAGAGGGCAAGGAATCGTTTAAGTTAAGTTTTTTAAAGAGGAAGCTAAATTTGCATGTCCGAGTCAACAGATTCATTTGTCAAATTGAAGTCACAGTCGAGAAGCACTACTTTTGCATAGTGATTTGTAAATTGTTAGAACAGCTCACTGCTGCGGTGATGCAGATAAATAAAATTGACTTTTGTTCACTTCTTCCCTGGAGCAGCTGCAGACATGAACTCTCTCCTAGTGTCGCTGATACTGATGGACAATGTTCTGTCCTCTGGGTCTCAGTGCACTGTCCCCCGTTCTGAGTTTAGTCTTGCTGGAGATTATCTGGTTGGAGGACTTTTCGAAGTTCATGATGTGGACGATGAGGGTTATCAAGTTTTGCCTGAAGCCATCAACTGCTCGCGGTGAGTCAAAAATACGTATTTTTTTGTAAAAGAAAAACAAAAAAAAGACACATAATATCTTTCATACATTTCAGAGGCAATTGTTTACTATACTATTTTGCAGGACTACAGTACTTTTTTGGTTTTGGTCTATATTTTAGGGGGGTTTGGAATTCATTTATTATACATTTTCTGGAAATGTCTCAAATTTCTCTTCACAAGCAACAAAGAATATTAATAATTTTGGTGACAGTGGCTCAGTTGGTAGAGCAATGGCTTCTGAGCCTAAAGGTCGTGGGCTTGAGCCCACCACAAGACCTTCTCCCAATATTGTCTGCTGTTGTTGTGTCTTTGGGCAAGACACTTAACCTCACTTTGCCGGAAGCCCCCAATGAAAGATCAAGGCTATGCTCTCACTGACAGAGAAGCCATCCTCCAGAGGATTAGTGAGGGGCTGGGGCTCAAAAAGGATTAAGGGAAAGATAATGGATGGATGGATAATAATAATTTTAGTTTCATATTGTTTGTATAGTGCATTATTTTACACTAAGATACTTAGATAATGGGACACACAGAAACAAATGCAAAAAAATCATGCAAGTATTAGAGTCTTACTAGGCAATGTGGGTGAACTGTCTTGCCAAAGGACACAACAACACTATGGCACTTTACAGCCACCCCCACTGTGGCACCTGTGTTCTCAGAGGTCTCCCTCATTACTTACCAGGCCTTGCCCCTGTCTGTGTTCTGACATTATTGGGCTTGAACAAGGTAAACAACTGTCTTCTGTTTGATAGAGGAAGAATGTGTCAATGTCATTGTTTTCTTTCATAAATCTTGACTTAAGTTTCTCATCTCCTCTGCAGACAACCATTCCTAATTTACAACTATCGGAGGTTTCAGATCATGCGATTTGCTGTGGAGCAGATCAACAACTCCACACAGCTCCTTCCCAATGTCACTTTGGGCTATGAGATCTATGACCATTGCTCGGACACCAAAGTTTTCCCTGGGATCTTCGACTTCCTCTCCTCCAACGAGTCTGTGAATCCCTGGCCTGAGCCTCAGAGACTGCATAAGCCTAAAGTCATATCAGTGATTGGAACCTACTCCAGCACAAAGTCACGCACAATCTCGCCGCTCTTGACCATAGACTTTGTGCCTCTGGTGAGCCTCTAAAACAGCATACAGTAGTAGTTGGTTGTCCAATTGTTCACACTTGGTCCCCTGGTGCACTTTGGGTCAAGTGCACTAGGGTCCACCAGCTCAACAGGCTTTAGCTTGAATTCTGAGATAGTCTTCAGGTCTCCTGCGTGTTTCCTGCTCAGCTGCTCTTTCATCCTATTCCATTAAGCTTTGGCCGTCCTTCCGCTTCTCCTTCTTCCCAGATATTAAGTCTGCTTTCTGTAGAAGCTTTATGTCTGAGTTAATCTACGCAAGTTATTTCCGGTGGGTGGTGCGGTCTTTTCGAAACAGAAGTTGACATGGTCTGTGATACAATAATCGGCCCACAGAGCTCCTCCCATAATGTGCTGCTGACAGTCCCAAGGGCCTCCCCACTGTCTGTGTTCCTCACCATGTGGCGTACTACAGGCCCTCTGTGCACAGTTGCTTTGTACAGACATAATTAGTGTTGTGGATTTAAGTACAATACATACGCATCATGTACGTGGCCATCCCTACATGCAAAGGCCAGATCCCATCAGCCCTCTGAAGCTGTGCAGGTACTGGTCAGTACTATGAGGGCCGATGGTACATACTGGTTGTCTTTTGTCAGTGTGCCCCAAGGAAGCTGTGACTAAAATAGTAGTTTATCACTGCTATGTATGGAGTGAATGACAAGTCAACAGTCTTTGAGTTTCAAAATGAAACTCAAATAAAAAAAGTCCATTTACCAAAACATTTGAACACCCCCTTTGTGATTCTTAAACAAGGACTAATTCTTGCTTATGAAATCATTATTATGTGATATTTTATTAAGTTATATATATATATATATATATATATATATATATATATATATATATATATATATATCTTTTTATTATTATTATTATCTTATTATTTCTGCTTTAACGCTGAGGTTCCAGACTTTCGAACCAAGAATGAAAAAATGCCTACCATCAACTGGTACCATCACTATGTTTTGCATGCATGATTTTTTTCCTCTAATACAATTTCATACAAGAATAACCCAACAACACTAATCTTTCAGGTAAATTATGGATCCTCAAGTTCGTCCTTCTCAGAAAAAGTCAAATATCCAACAATTGTGCGAACACTACTTCCAAATCAGCAAATGGTCGAAACCATGGTTACCATCCTGCTTCACTTCAGATGGCACTGGGTTGCTTTGCTCTACAGTAATCTTGAATATGGCATAGATGGAAGACAACTATTTTCGAAAAGAATTAAAAAGACAGAAATTTGTCTGGCGTACATCGGAGAGGTGAACCTGCAGACCAACCACTCTGAAATGATCAAACAGATAGATGCTCAGAAGATAAACGTGATTATATTGTTTTCAATAAAAAGAGATGCAACAACAACAATCAAAGCAGCGCTGAGTCTCAAACTTAGCAAGAAGGTTTGGATAGCGCCAGACGCATGGGCATTACACAAAGAGCTGATAGAAACACCAAATATTGACTCTATTGGAACCGTGCTCGGAGTGGTACAGCCAGAGATCAAACTTCCAGGATTCAATCTTTTTATTTCCAAGTTAAACGTTGGAAAAGCACGTTGTGAAGAGGGTTATGAGAGAGCATGTAACCAGATGTGTAACTGTAGTGGACTGAGGACAGAACAAATAATGACTGCAGATCCGTCCTACTCTTTCACGGTGTACTCTGCAGTGTATGTGGTCGCTCACGCCTTGCACAACCTTCTGCACTGTGACAGCGGCAGATGCCATTCCAATATGACCATTTACCCTTATATGGTGAGTATGCAATCATGGACATCCACATCGAGCATGAGCCATCTCTGAACAATCGGGTTCTACGCAATTTGGAAAAATATGCCATGCAATCATACCAATGAGCTCATCTGCGGTTACTTTTATCACAAAAATGTTTTATTGCATTTTCCGTTCATCCCAAAAAACAGTGGGCAGAAGTAAAGCATGATTATTATATGATTTGATAATAGCACATATGCCATTTTAATTGAGCTAAAGAAACATTCTTAAAGAAGCACTGTAAGTTAGCCAGTATGTTGTCCCCTCCAGGATTTGACTTAACTAAACTTAGTTTTTTGAATATAGTAACATATATCTGAATATTTAAAAAAAACTACCTTTAAAATTAAGGTACAAGAATAACTCATATTTTACCAGTTCGAATATTATAAATTCAATTACAATACAATTTGGTCAACTCCATCAGACCATAATTTAAACTGCACATTCACATTCCTCATTAAGTTAATAAACATGTAGCATCAATACAATTCCTTTTTCATGTATTGCTAAGAATACAAACATCTTTATTGAAAAAAGGCAAAGCAACACTTTCCTGGCCTATTTTATTTGTTTGATTCTCTGATCTGAAACTTTATCAAGTCCTCCGAGACAACACAAGGTGTCACTAGTGCACTGCCATGATCGACTCTCCAATTATTTTAGAATGAATTGGAGAACATGCAAATGCCAAACAATTTTTCTCCTGTGCACACTAATGTTGGTGTTTCCAGGTTCTGGCAGAGATGAAGACGTCCAACTTTACTCTGCTAAATGAGAATATTCATTTTGATGAAAATGCAGACCCGTTGTTTGGATTCCACACTATTGTTGCCTGGAACAACAGTACGGCAGAAGTAGTCGGTTATCACAAAATTCACCCATTCATTGATTTTCACATCGACAGCTCAAAGATTCACTGGCCCACAAACGGAGAAGTAAGTGCAATGTGAGAGAGTGGGAAAAGATATGGTTAGCAGAGAAAATGACAAGAATAAATAATAGTACAGTAATAACAGCAGATAAAGACTTTTTCGAATGAGTATTGGTACAGATGAATGACACATGTACAGGCCAAGCAGTTCTCGTTGTACAGTCTAACAGCAGCAGGAAGGAAAGGCCTGTGGAACTTCTCCTTCAAACAGCAAGGGTGGGTCAGTCTGTCGCTGAAGCTGGTCTCCAGGGCAGACAGAGTGTCCTGCAGGGGGTGACAGTCATGGTCCAGCATGGATGTTAGTTTGACCCTCCTGTCCCCCACCTGCTGCACTGTGTCCAGGGGACAGCCCAGCTGGACTTCCTGATAAGATAAAACGCTCCTTAATTTTCTCCCAAAGAAGAAGAAGTTGTTTAGGGACAGGGGTTTATATTCTTTTCACCACATACATTTGCATACACCACATTGATGATGACCTGGTCCAGTTTCTTTCTCTATGTGATGCTGCTGCTCCAGTAAACAAAAACAAAAAAATGCCACAACAAAGTCATGAAGGTCTCCAGAATTGGCCCCTGCATTCCCCAAAGACCTGAGTCTCTCGAGCATATAGAGCTGGCTCTGGCCCTTCCTGAAGAGGGCCTCTCTGTTGTGAGTCCAGTCCAGTTTAAGGTTCATATTGACATCAGGTACTTGTAAGAGTCCACTCATTCAATGTCCCTTCCTTGTCCGAAAGATATTTGTGTGTGTGTGTGTGTGTGTGTATGGGTGCGTGCGTGCGTGTGTGTGAGAGTGTGAGAATGTGTCTGTGTGGGTGTGTGTGTGCGTGTGTTTGTGTGTGTGAGAATGTGTCTGTGTGGGTGTGTGTGTGTGCGTAAAATATATGAACATTGGAGCAAAAGGATCTAAGCACCTGTGTTTATAAAACTTTGCGCACACAGTCTCCAGTTGCAGCTGCTTGAAACACAACTGGACCAAAGAGAGGAAAGTTCAGTATTGTAGATGTTTACTTTGAATCATTACTTAGGGTGCTTCATAATGATATAAATGCCGTAGTTGGTGTCATGCCATGCTCAGCCCACACTCTCAGTAGGGGCCGCACTGACATTGAACTTTGATGTCCACTAGAGGGCCACGTAATGCCTATGGCACTATGATTATTTTGTGCAGGTGACAACATCGCTCTGCTCAAAGGACTGCTCTGTCGGATACTTCAGACAACAAATTGGGATTCATAGATGCTGCTTTTATTGTGAGATTTGTCCTAATGGAACCTTTATCAACACCACAGGTTAGTGTTTCGACATGATGCTCATGATGAGACCTGAGGTTTCGTCAGAAGATGTATGAAACCTCAAGACATCTTCTGATAGACAATGTTGAAGCAAAAACATTTTTGCGTCAGCTGATAATATTCTTTTCTATGAATCCACAGTCGTGCGATAGACTTGTCCAGCTCAAATTAGCGTGCGCTGATTGATCACTACCAACTGTGCTTGTCCTGTGGACCGAGACTAGGCTAGTTTTTCTACAATTTTGAGGCCAGAAAAAAATAAGCACCATCTAAGGGACCCAGGGCTTGGTTGCAAACATCAACTGCAAAAATTAACGGACGTAGTCACTCCTCCGTTGAAACTAATGCGCCACCACTTTGGCCTTCTGTGGGCAGTTTCAAAATGGCCGTGGGTCAGGATAATGTTGAAAAATCGCATTTGAGCATGCTTCAGCCGGCATGAGCCCCAGTCATTTAACTAATGCATTAAGTCCACAGCAGCTAAACTAGACTGATCCAAAAAATATACTCCCCTCAGCATTGACACCCATCCGCAAAGTAGCTTTGGGCCTAGCGTTGACTTTTTGCCCATCCTGTCGTTTTTTCTAGAGAGGTATGAAGACACCAAACCAAAGCATTGGACAATTCTCTTTCTGGGTCAACCCCCATCAATTACGAGTGGTATTGCAAGCATATCTGTCTGAAATGTCTTCACTGTAGGACAATTAAAGGATTTTCTAAAAAAGGAAACAAACATGTCAGCATCCGTGGTCATGGACCTTTTTGAGCCGGGACCCGCCCACTGGTTACAATGCATTTTGACAGATTGTATTTGTGTCTTGTAATAACTATGACAGTTAAATGGATTTTATTATGTATAATTATCCTTTCGTGTCTCTTATGTCCCCAGTGGACCGTTACTCTTGTGCCTCCTGTTTGGACACAGAATGGTCTCCTCCAGCGAGTACCTCCTGTCAGCCCAGACTGATAGAGTTTACCTCCATGAAGGATAAGGC